TGTGACATGTTTGTGGACTTCTGCTATGCTGTCGAGTCCATAGCAGACCAGTTGGTGTGACCTAAGGGTGCCTCTAGGCGTTCTGACTCGGATCTTTAAAAGATACCGCCTTGTTCTCACGTGCGTTTTCATTGCCCCTACTCCATGAACAACCAGAGTGATTTCTTCACTTCTTAGGTTAAGACTGCTTGCAGCCCTGTGGGTTATATAGTTGGTGTCAGAAGCCAGGTCAATTAATGTCCCAATCTTTTGCCCAGCATTAGCTGTGACCTCAAGGAGCATCATGATTACTGGCAGCTCTCGAAGCCCACCTTCAAATAGGAGGCTTGGCTGCTCCTTGGTGGTGCTGCATGCCCTAGATGCAGTGTTTGAAAACGCATCCCTGCATTCTCTTGCCAGTTCAGGTGACAGTTTTTTGAGGAACTCCTCCTGATCCTCCGTACATTTCCTGCTGACCTTTCCTCCCTCTGGATCAGATCTATTTTGCTTCCCTACTGCACTTCCCTTCCTCACCTCAGCATTAGGGCATAGGTAGTAATGGTGCTCCGCAGCATGTGCTTCTTTGCAGCCTGGGTTTTTGCACAGATAAGTGGGTTTGCAGTATGACCCTTTGTCATGAACCTCGAGACAACTCCAGCATGTGCCTAGTTTCTTAATTGCGGCCTTCTTTTCTGCAAGCTTTAATGTTTTAAATTGCCTGCAGAAGTAGAGTTTCGTTTTATGCTTTCCATCACCGCAGACCACACACCCTTCATCGCTACCTAATTTGGTGAATTTGGTTCTGGAATGTTTCAGCTCCACTCTTTCTCGCTTACTTGGCTCTTCCTCTCTCAGATGATCAAGCTGTTCATATATGGTTTCTTGCTCTTTGAGGAATTCCAGAAGACTATCAAATCGTTTTTCTGGGGTGACCATGTTTCTACTGTCAGCAACATAAATGAGCCACTCCTTTTTGAGTGTTTCTGGAAGTTTACTTTCGATTGACTTTGTTACCAATGGGTTTTTTATAGCCCCCGTGTCACCAAGGTCAACCAGGTCTTGAAGCGCCTTCTCCACAGCTTGAATTAATTCCACTATTTTTCTTGGCTGGTGGCTCTTAACAGCTGGCATTCTCTGTAACTCCTCCACTATTTCAATAGCAATTGATGTTTGATTGCCGAACCGATTCTCCAAAACACGAAAGATGTCGTCTGCAGTGTTGTAAGTGGTGAGTCGAAGTTCTCTCGTTATCTTCTCATCCACACTATCAAGTAGCTGAAACTTTTTGATCTCTTTCGATCCAGATGGCTCCGCCTGCCCCTGAAGAACCTCCCATTCCTTCTTCCATCGGTGGAAGTCTCGTTTGTTTCCAAGAAACTTAGGAAGTGCTGTTGGTTTCAGCTTGATGATTGGCATAGGGCAGCTGGAGGTAACTGGCAATGATGACAGGTGATCAGCATCCTCCTTTATTCTCATTTCCAGAAAGTCAGCTTTTCTGGAAACCAGCCTGGGGACGCAGAGTTCCAGCCTCTGTATATTGCTTTGAAGATCTCTCCGAATACCTGATGGGATCCAATGCTTCCACTTGCTATACCTCTCCTTTGCCACTCCCACCAGTTCTTTCAGGTGGCCAAGAACGAAATCATACACTTCATAATTACCGTCAGGCGTAATGGCAGCAACATGATCACACTCAGCCTCTGCTGCCTGTAGTGCTGTGGACAATTCTGCACTTCCAAAGTTGGCCCAGAGAGCCTCTCTGACTAGGGTTTTTATTTCCTTCAGTTTTAACTCACATTCACTTGCAGTCTTTGCTAAGTCGGCTCTCTGCTGTTCTGTCAGCACAGCTGCTTCACTTGTGTCAGGCTTTGCCTCTAGCTCTGTAATGAAACCGGCCTCTAGATCATCATTGGCCTCCATGACTTTTTCTGCTTCCATTGTCAGTCTATTGAAACTGTCTTTGAGTTCTTCTTCAGTCATATCCTCATGCGTCCTCGTAATGCTATTAACCAGACGAGAGAATGATCTCTTGGCTGTTGCCCTCACTCCTTTGAGTTGTTCAACTGACTTCCCAGCAGCTTGGTCTGCCATTTTTGTGTGCTCAGGCTTGAACTGGGGTTTATTTACTAATGGGAATGGCACATGCAACTTGAGGGATTCTCCGAATTTTCTCTTTGCACTAATTATTCCCTTTTCCCAGGACTCCAGGTCATTACTCCCAGATTTTGATTTCCCGGTTTTTCACTGTCAAGCTCTTTAAGTTTGTGCAGCTTCCCCGCTTGAAAGGGATTGATGCATCTACCACAGGTGTTTAACTGGATTTCACTCAATGACCAGGCAGATCTTTTGTTTTCCTTTTTCTTTAATCTTCTTTTCGGCCATAGTCAGCCATAGGTGAAAAACCTTTAAATACAAACCAAAAAACCAAAATACAAATTATGTTTGTTATCACACATCTGCAAATATTGTAAACATTCCCAAACACATTTTCTTTTTTAAACACATCAATGCAGTGCGCAAGCTTTGTAGTACAATATTTTCTTGAGTATTTTTAAATGCTCAAATTATGTAATTCACTAACAATTGTACATACACCTTGAGAAATACTGCTTTCTATTAAAGTGTTAAATTAAATAATCAATCTGCATTTGAACTTGAGCAATAACAATAGTATTGATAACCAGCTTCTCTTAACCATATGCAAGCATTAACAGTCTTCCATATGCAGACCAACAATAAACAATGGTGCCGCTCGTAAACAGGCGACCAGCTCACGGCACAGTGCTAATGCTACGTAAGCTAGCGGCAGCCGCGATTCTTTAGCAACTCGCTTCAAAGTCTTTTACCATAGTCGGCAACCATTCCCTTACCGGCTGCCTCCCTGGCTTTGTAGATACTTCAGTTCCACACAATATTCATGTTGGCGACAACTTATTGAAAGAATTTTGCTGGGCTTTTCCCGAAAGTGGCAACTTCCTATTTCTTCCCAGTTCGCCTTTCTTTTCCTTCCCGACAGAAACCCAGACACAAGATTAGTTCCGCCCTCCAGTCTGTCACGTTTACTTTTTTTCCTCAGGGCTCTCCACCTCCTACCCGGTTTGACTTGACAGTCATCAGCATAGCACTGAAAATGTATGCGGTGTCTTCTGATGATACTGTCTAAAGGCAGCGTGTATAATGTAAACAGAATTGGTCCAAGCACTGAACCCTGTGAAACTCCAAAATTAACCTTAGTGTGAGAAGAGGACTCTCCATTTGTAACCAACAACTTTGCAACCAATTTCCAGCACAGAGCTTTCTTGCATTCTGTATGTTGATTAATCATTGCCATATCGGTTGACAATGATGCCTGCTGTGTTCTGTACTGGAGTTTTGCTGCTGCTCTCCACTCTCCATGAAAGGCCCGGAGCAGAGCAATGCAACCAAACATTAACTCTTGCAGATATAAATAGTAGTCTTACCTTGACTATAATCCTGCTGAATGAACTACTAATGCCATATATGGGAAGAAATCTGCCATGCAAATTAACACTCTCGCTTCGTTTCCTTTAACATTTTATCCTCAGGTAATTGTCCCTATGGTCAGTTTCTGAATATAAGTGAACCGAGGGTCTACACAGCAGGAGAGTATCCTGGTTCATACAAGTATGGTGCCTGGGGTCGGGATCCCAAACCAGAAGCCGGGAAGGAGAGTTGGTATTGGCGGGTAATATTGACTTCCAGCAACAGATATGCCCACTACGTCCGTTTCTATTCCACCTTGAGCTCTCTCATCATTGGGGTGAGCGTCCCTGGTAAGAACCTGTCCTTTTGTAATATTTTTTGTGGCATACTGGGGAACATTTAAGTGTAAACTATTTACAGTACGGAAGGCAAGGTGTAGACTGACTTTCCTCCAATAAAAAAAATAATTAAAAAATAAAATAAAATAAAAAAATAAAAAAAAAAAAGACATAAAAGCTATTCACACTAAGACACAAATTTAAAGGCTTCTTCCTTAGGCGTCTACATATGTGCTACCTTTAGACCTAGTGTGCTCACTTTTACTACCCAATAAAGGATTTAGTGCAGGCACCTTATATTTTTCCCAACATATTGTTTGGCGAGGGAGAGCGGTAACTCGTCAGCCCAATTGTGATGTGTTTCACAAAAGCAGAACTGGCTCTATAACAGCATCACATTTCGGGATGAGTATCGAAAACCAGTTCTTGTTGAGAACCGGTTCCCACTGTTTCAAAATTCCTTGGAATTGTCGATATCGATTCCAGTCCACGTTGCGGAGCGTCATTTACCTGGCAGGAAACATGGCGGCTCAAACACTCCAAAGTTTGGTTATACTTTACGAGAACTGATGACAACAGGGCAACTTGCAAAGTAGATATTTCATTTAAGGGAGGAAACACTGCGAATACAGCGATTGCCTAAATGAATGTCGTGTTTTTAATTCCGCTCCGGACTCGTGAATCTCAACCCAGCAGCAGCGGTAACGTTTGCACGTCCTC